AAATATAAAACCGAACCAAATTAAATAATATTTGTCACAAAATAATATTATATAATAATCGTTTTCTTATCTGGGTATTTATAAACTATGTACAGGAGCACGGCTGCGATAGAAAACCTGTTTTGGCCTATGGTGCGGTACTGTCGTTATCGGGCGCGGAGTGATGGTAAAATGTACGTCTAGTAACGAACGCTGCCGCTGTTTATGGGCGCAGCACACGACGAGCGTAATTAATTGACGAGCGTATTTTTTTAACCGAAAATCATGGTTTCGTAATTCAAGTAATACGGCGTTGTGATGCGTTTTACAGTATAAATACCTATTACGAAAATTGTAGAGGAGAATTTTTTCTAGAATCGTAAGAAGCCCGATTTTTGATACCTTGTTCCAATCTTCCAATATCGCATGGTAAATTAACACGTTTTTTTTACTTTTTATCGATTAATTATTCAACTAATTAATAAAAATATCGAAAATCGGCCTTCTTACGATTGTTAAGAAAATTCTCCTCTACAATTTTTATAATAGGTATTTTTTCTGTAAACCGCTTCAATAAGCCGTATTACTTGAATTACGAAACCATGTTTTTATGCCATATTTTGTCTACTAGTGCGCCCTCTTAAGGACACCTCGTGCTACTAGGGTGTAGGCATATAGGTATGTATGTATGTACTATGTAAGTATGTATGCATGTATATAGGCGGGTTTCGCTGACGGTTGCCGCATCGACAGTATGAGTGTCGTTGTATGTGTGTATATTTGTAAAACCACAAAGGAAGTTGTTGCATTTGCATGTTTTTTTTGGACCGTTAGATTTATTGTTAAGTGAGTTAGAAATTCATTCTGAGACTCTACGAAAAACATATCAAAAGTTTATACTTTATAGTGCATATTTAATGATTTTCATAGTTTAGAGCATATTTCATAATTTTACATTTTTTTAGAGTATATTTTATAAATTATAATACTTGAAAATTCGTAAATAAAAACATTAATAGATTCATATTGAAAGAGTTTATTAGATATTCTTGTATCGTTGTTTTTTAATTTCCATTTGGCATTGAAAACAATGTTTTTCTTCTATTGATTAATATAATGTATAAATACTAATAAATTATGTAACTAGGTACAGCTTGCTTTATCTAAAATGAAATATTATATAAATATTAAATAAATATCTATAAAATAGAAATAGCTGCAATCGAAGTACGATGATTTTCTATAAATACTTTTCTAGGGAAATAATTCAATGATTATTGTTGATGGGCTGATGGAATTAATAGACTCACTGCCGAGATATTATTGTCAGTTCCAACTTATACGTATATATTTTCTTCAAGGAACATTTTGGAGGCATTTTTATACAATTTTTTTGTTGTTTAAATTATGATTAAAAATTAAAAATCAAAATTATTTTTATTACTTTGTTTTTACCATATTTATCATTTATTATAAAACAATATATAATTATATAACATTTATAATTTTATAAAATATTTCTGCAAATGAAAATTGTGTGTAAAAAATAAAATATAAGTGCATATTTTTAGAGCATATTTGTACTTTTTTAAGAGCATAAGAGCATGCATATTTAGTGCTTTTTAAGTGCATTAAGTTCCGAGTCCTAAATAATAACCATTCTTGCTTCATATATTATGACCCATACTCGATCGTACGTCGACATTCCGACGTATAACATGGTTTATCAAAAATTGTTTTCTGTACAGTTGTTCATTATATTTATAACGATTAATGACTCTAATTTATAATAAACCAAAATAAATAGGTATGCGGCATACCATAACGATATACAAAAATATAAAATATAGCAAAATACGCACATTATTAGTTATTTTTCGTTAATATGAAGTAATAAATTTTCCAATTTTTGTATACGTTTGGAATTTTTTAATAAGATACAAAATTTGCCACCTCTGCACCTCAAATTAATAACATTCCTTAGAAATATTGTTCCTCTTTAAGATATCATTCCAAACATATATTTACTTGAAAAGTACTAATAAATAACTGTAATTATTTCCCTGCTTTGTATGGAAGCCATACTCCCTAGAGTCTAGGCACTTAACAATTTTGAAATATTTGCAATATTGTACTGACCTTGTGAACATGTTACAGAAACATTAAAAGGTAAGTTTCAAATTAACATATGTGTATAAGCATGTCCAAATTTTGAGACGTGAAATATCAACTCACATTTATGTTACGCAATCGTAAAGTTTTTCTAACATCTCAACAACATCATTGTAACAACTATTTGGATAAGTTATAAATAACATCCTAATTTACACGTATCTTATTAGTTATTACCGATACTAGACGTTACAACATAGTCATCTTTAAAAGAAATATAAATGTACAACCGTACTTTTCAAAAATAAAAACCCGTTTCGGGGTATCGTAGTATCGTGGTTCGATTGATGCTGGTCGAAACCCTAAACATATTTATGTTTAGGTGCATAATATTTTATTTAGCCATGGTCGAAACTACGTACGTAGCGACAACCCATGCTTATGAATCTATAGTATATTAGTAGGTATATTACTATTATCCATCGCCTTTCATCGCCCGTACCGAAGCGCGCAACAAACGAACAATGTGCCAGAACTTTTATCCCCTCTCCCGTAAGTCGTCGCCTCGCGCGGCCCAGTCTTCTCGTAATCTCGTGAGCTCGTGACGGGTGCGCCGCAGTGCCGCGCGGCGCGCGCGTCTTGTGTTTTTCCGCCTTAAGCGGACGTGCACCGCGAGTCGTGATCGATGGGAGTGACGTCTCTTTGACGAGCGTTTTTCGATTTACATTATTTAAGTTCGTACTCGCCGGTGATTTGGAGAAGCCATGCGCGCCATCGTTCCGTCGGTGCGTACGACGAGCAACTGGTACCGCCGTGCGGGCGGCTGTGAGAGAGGCCGAAAACTTCGTGTTTCGCACTACGCGTTCCGTCAAAGTTTGCGTTGTTCCCAATTTCATTTATCGTCCCGTCGATCGCGAGCGCACGGCCGCAATAATTATTAGTCGCCGCGTGCCGTTCGCAATCCATAGAGCAGATGTTCAAATCGTCGCCCCGTCTTGTTATTTCGCCGATCACAACATCGCCGCCGCCGCTGATATTTTTTGACGCGTCTATAAATCGTATTGTCATCGTCGTCGATAATATATGATGTTAAGCATACTACTGAACTCTGTCTCTGCCGACGTCGACTTATAATTATATTAGTTAGAAGTATCTGTGTACATAGGTCATTGCTTTTGCGATTGCCCTCTCAAGTATAGGTACTCAACATCGTCAGCTGGACATCATCGCATTCCAAAACACCGCGACACATGTGACTGGTTAGTCTCTAATTATTATATGTACCTATTATAATTATAATTATTATTTATTTTCTTAATGTAGCAATGTACATTGTACAACATATCAATATTACCTAAATATTAACGATTAATTATCCACCTCATTAAGAGTAGCATATTTTGGCAGGGAACGTTAAGTTTAAATCTGAAGCATACCTATGTAACGAGATATATAATTAATAACTAAGAGCTATTAAGTATCTAATTACAAATACATAATAAGTTATCGAGGAAAAATAACAAACAAAATATAATGTATGGTACCTAAAGTACCTAACCAATAATTACATGTACATAATTAGATATATACATAACGCACAGTATTATTAATCCATGGAGTGAATATGATTATTTAGACTAAATTTTTGGAGGTACCTAATTGTTTTATGTAAAGTGCCTTAGGATGACTTTAATTAATATTGTTTAATATTAGGTAGATCCTACACAAATTTTACTTTTTTGCCCGAATATAGTTGTACTCAGAGTTCTTCTTTTAATCTTTATTGAATTTAAACTTGATATTTTTTTGACCTTGTGTTATAATTATGTTGAATTTTAGAACTGTTGATATCCATTGTGATTATTTGAAAAAATAAAGGCCAAAATGGAAGTCAAGAATTCCAAAATATTTGTGTAGGTAATTGAATATTAAAAAAAAAATCTATCCCTATTAATAGTATAATTTCTATATAAAATTTACAGAGACTTCTAAGCTTTCTTGCTAAGTTGTGCATGCAAGATTTATTTACCCTTTCACCCTCAAACTTCTATTTTTCTAGACAATTCCATATGACAGAATAAATTGTGCTAGTAAAAAATAATCCATTTTTAGAGAATTATTATTGATAATATATTTTAAGAGGATGTGATACCCGCATGTGTTGTCTCTGTCTTAGAAGTGTGAACTATACCAAATTTTAGGATCAATTTTAGCACCGTTAGCTTAAGAATTAGAGTGAATTAACCTCTTATAAAATTTAAAGGTAAGATTATTATCTAGGATTCCACTTAGGCTATTTTAAATATTTTTATTTTCAAGTAAGTTTTGACCTTTTTTGAAACTGTACATTTTATAGTAATCATAACTTACTTAAAAATAATAATTTCAATAAAAAGCTATGTGTGGCCCTAGATAATAACCTTACCTTTAAGTTTTGTAAGAGGTCAATTCACTCTAATTTTTAAACTAATGGAGCTAAATGTGATCTTCTGAGTGTAAAATTTTCTGTGTTATGCACTCTTAGGTCCTCCTAAATATGTCCTATGATTAACATACACTTCTAAAACAATCATCTTTACCTAAGTGAAGTTATATAGTAAATATGTTCATTCTTTTTAGGGAGTTTGTCAAAAATAATAGGTACCTCGAATAATACCAAAATATGATATACATAATTTTTGTTTGATTAAGTAAACAATTATTATGGTTAATAGGGTGGTCAATACATTTATTCAAATGGATTATGCTGTTCCTTTATTTAAATGATTTTTTATTAATATTAAAAGAGATAAACTTGGATATTTGTAAGTTAAACAATTATCTAGCCAAAGTTTGACTAATCTGACATAAGACACTGAGTTATTATATACATATTTTTAATTATCTCCATCACCTAACAAAATTGTGTTATCTGCAAAATATGCTAGGTACCTTACCTATTAAATCCAAATTTAATAATCCATCAATACCCATTGAAGGTCTTAGGATTGTACCTTGAGATACACCAAAATTACTTTATACAGTATATTTTAATAATATTGAGGTTAAAATTAATTTAAATAGTATTCAATAGCCAATATATGTATATTTTTATATTTCAAGTTTGTACTTCAAATGTTAAGGAATGTTACATGTTTTACCTTAGAATTTATCAAAGATTGAATATTGTGTAAGTTAGTCAATGCTAAGTGTTAAATATAACAGGTTTTTAAATTAAATTGGAGTATAGGATAGTTGGATAATTTATAATGCACTTTTTAAAAATTCATTTTTGGCTAGTTCCTTTTAAAATTTATTGATAGATGGTAAATATTTTAAATGAAAGAAAAAATATATTTTGTCTTTTTGTAATTCTTAAGGTATAGGTACCTACAACCAAGAAATTTAGAAAAACACTTGATTTGGTTCTTGTATTAGAAATTTGCTATTTTTGTATTGCGTAACTCTTAGTTTTATCTGTATAAAGTCTTAATCATAAATGCATTATTTTTTTTATAATATTTTAATTGATAATTTATTGGGCCTTGACTTGAAAGTGGTTATTTTGTTATTTAATATTTGTTATTATTTTAATTAAATACAGAGGTACCTACTTACACATCTTTAGTTTGCTGACTTTGGTTTGATAGGGTAATCTTACTATTTTAGGCACTAGATAGGATATACAATTAATTACTAAAACATACAGTGCCAACAACTTTCAATTGCAATTAAAATTGAAAACTATTTGCCAACCATAGAATTTGTAAGGGATTATATCAATTATAATAGTATGTAGTACTAACATATTATGGTATAAGAATATAAATAACCCACATTAATTAGTAATTACTATTGTAGGTACCTACCTACATACAATTTAAGTAAATAGCAAAACCAAATAATATATTTTAAATTCTTCTGTGAAAAAAAACTGTTTAGCTATCCATGTAGTTTGAATAGATATTTTTCCAAATAAAATATTTATTAATTGTACCTATTTTAAGCTAGGTACCTACTATATATTTTTTAATTAATAACGGTTACTTATCAGTTATGCTTAGATTTGTAAGCAAATATAATAATTTATAGTTACTTTAATATTTAATATTGTAACACGAGTCATTGCCATTGTCAAGGTTACCCAAAACATGACCTATTATTATTCAGATACACAATAATACTATTTTATATTTCTCAATTATTAAGAGCTGTTTATAAAAAATACAGATATTTCCGAGATAGGTAACTATAATAATTAATGATATACCTACTATATAAAGTATATAACTACTACAACTATAATTTTAGATGATAGGAATAGCTGATATAGTATAGCTTCTATAGTACCTAGGTATTGTTGAAATAATATATTTATTATTTTTCTCAGAAAATAGTTAAGTTACTGCTAAATAGTTGAACATAAATAATAATAAAATATTTATTAAAACATTAGAACTGTTTCTGAATTTATTAAATTACAAAACTGCAATTTATGTGTAAACCTATTATATTTAATCATTTTAACGTTATAACTTAAAATATTTGATGATGAATATAAAATTAATAAATCCATGCATTAGGTTAGGTAATACATACGTATTTAGTACACAATAAGTGAATAAAGTTCAAAGGCTATTATAATATTTTAAATGCACCGTTTATATTTTTAGGTACACCAAATAAAAATAGTCTACAATAATTGTTTATACACATAGTTTTATTTTAAATCAATTATATATTGTTGAAAAAATAGATGCAATGAAAAAATATAGTGTTTAATGTGTTAGGGTAAAAATTTTAATTAATAAATAGATTTTCAATTGTCACAATATTTGAATTGTATTATAATTACAGAAAGTTACACATTATTTATTGTTCATGGAATTCATGGTCTTTGTGACCATTTTCCTAGACATTTTCTTCTAGTTCAACCTGTCTAAAGTTTTTGTTTTTCAACCTCATATACTAGAAGTTTCCATATTTTTATAACAAACACTTCAGCCTCATCATCAAGTACCATCTGAACATCATCGATTATAGCCTGAGGACTACTACCGGCTTCCACTTTTGAACATATAAAATCTACCAGTGTTGTTTCTGGCTCTCCGATGTATTCAATGATTTTTTTATTTATCCACGGCCAAATGCGTTTTTTTATCATTTGGAAGTCAACTACTGTCCAATCAAGATGAAATGAGAATAACTCATCAGTGGGAATGAGATCAATTAACTGACTGATACTTTTTTTCTTTTCCTCGACTGATTTATGTTCTTTTTCTTTTATCTTGTTGCAATAGTCGATATGATTCAATTTTCTTTTTTTTGACGTTGGCGATTCTTCGTCATCATTCTTAAATACGTCTTTGATATTCATATTTTTTTGAATCATCAAAGTGATCGATTGGGTAGGTTGAGAAATGAGTGCAAATTCAGGTGGAGGTGTTCGAGAATGAACATTAGATGATGTAGCTGGCTGCTGCGGACTGGGTGTTAGCGCTTTCTCCACAACATGCTTCTGACATTCCTGCTCAACTTCCATGTTTTTCTGATTTTCAATGTCCATTTTATAGCATTTTAATGTGTTTTTTTGGTTTTCTGCTACATCCATCAATAATTTGGACTTGTGCATATTTTCTTCTCTGGCTTCTAATACTTCAGAAAATTGTAATTTAATGTTACTATGTACCTTTTTTGGGATGATTACTTGTTCATCTTTCTCTTTTTGTCGATCTCTTTCATCTTCTTCTTTTTCTTTTTCACGCAGTTTGATTCGTTTTTGCCAATTTTTTCCTCTATAATACTTCTGGTCATCGTTTTTATCATCATAATTTTCCAAAAACTCTTTAAGCTGTTTAGCATTTTTTTCTCTTTCTTCTTCTATCATTTGTTTATTAGCACGTTGTTTGGATAATTCTTTTTTCTTTTGTTTTTCTCTGTTTAACCATTTATTAAGTTTCTTTTGATATGCTAGTTCTTTCTCTCTTAGCCTATCATCATTTTTTTTTAACTCCAACTCTTCCATTTCTTTTTCTTGTAATTTAGTTATATCGAAATAGCTTCTGCTTTTTTCTGGTATTTTTTCTTCACGGTTTTCCTTGATCATTCTTTTTTCTCTTTCTTTGTCTGTTCTTTCATTCTTCTCCCTGCCACTCTCATCCCTTTTGTCTCTTGTTTTTTCTTTTTCTTTATATCTTTTATCTCGTTCTTCTCTGCTTCGTATAATTCTATTTTCTTCAGAATCTGGATTACCTGGAAATGTATGTTTTCCATTTAGTTTTTCTTGGATCTTTTTTCTTTCAATTTCATTTTCTTCTTTGTTTTTCTTGTCTTCTCGAAACTTGTCTATTTCTTCAAAAATTAATTTTTTTTTTTCATCTTCAATTTGCACGGTATTAAATCCCACACCATCAATAATTCTTGCTTTGTTTTCATTTTCTTTTTCTTTTCTGATCATTTTATCATTGTGTTTTTTAATTATACAGTTTATTCTTTCTCTGCAATGTACTTCCAATTTTTGATTTCCTTCAGAATCATCAGTACCTTTTTTTTCCACTTCAAACTGGTCTAATTTTTTTTGTGTTTTTGTGTCTACTTTCACCACAAGTTTTTTACCGCCTACCTCCATATCATGTAAAACTTTGATAGCAAGTAAGGCATCTTCAAATTGATAATATTCACAAAAACCAAATCCTTTTACACTCTTCCAAGAAGCAATATTTCCAAAAGTTGTCAAAATGTATTGTATCGTATGGCGAGGAACTTCTTCAGAAATGTTTCCAACGAATACAGTGATAAGTGGTTCTGAAGGTTGATGGAATGTTTTACGAGTAGCGAGTGGGTTGAAACACTGAGAAGCAGAAACCACATGTGGTGTTACAGGTGCAACTAATGAAGTTTGTTGCATTGGAGCCCAAACCTTGGACTGGGGCATTGGAAAACTGTCCACAGTAGGAGTGAAAGGCATGACTTAATAATTTGCAGAAGTAGTAGGTAAAATGTTGGCAGAAGATACGGTGGTAGTCAGATTTGATCATCCATAATAAGTGAAATGATTATTGCTTAAAGTTAAATAAACAATAGTATTAGTATCTATATTTTAAATTTTAAAGAATAATACTATAAAATACTATCATGATAATTATATCTTACCTGTGAGTACTTCATATGTTGAATTACTTCGTACATAACAACAAACTATTTTTTTTACACAAATATAATATTATAGTTATAACCCAAAGAATTGAACAAATTTGAGTAAAGTGTACAGTATATTAGACAGTACAGAACTAAACAAATACAAGTAAGTATAAAAAGTGTGGTTGTAGTTGTACTATAAATCTAATCTAATCCTTGGAAAACACCCTTTTTAGGAGAACTAAGGTAAGCAAATTTATGATAACAAATTAAATAGTGAATTGATAAAAATGTTAGTATTTATTGTATTTACAAGGTCTTTGGAAGAGTAACTAAGGTCCATCTAATTCCAAACTGAATTATATCACTACAGAACAAATAACAATATAGATGCAACACCGTAGAAATTAGATTAAAGTAACAGTATTTGATTGCAGGATTTTTGGCGTGGTCAGTCAGTTGATTCTATTAAATACCAAAATGGCCATGTCCCCACTTTTTTCGAACAACATAAGAAATGGGAATTTTTCTTATCACTGATACTACTAAATATTAAATAATTAAAATACATTTTTTTAAATCTTTTTCCTTTATAAATGTTATTTATTATTATTATAATTATTATTAGTCTTATGATTATTATTGTTATTGTTATTTTTTTCACTTGAAAAATATGCTCATATAAGTAATAATAAAAAACTTACAAACCACAAGTAGTGAAATTGCAATCATAATATTTGTTACTGACACTTGACATGACGTGGAATACAGTCGATCATATTGTACTTAATTGTGTATTATAATATGTTAAGTAAATTGTGTGACTACTTTTATAACTACTCTGTGATAATTGTTATGTGAAATTGATACTGCTTCGACTGAGCTGTCTCTAGATGCTTGTCCTTCAACTTTGAGTTATCACGACTAGACTGATTTTCTTACATTATTAATCAAATGAGTGAAAATTTTACTAATGTTAAATATGCTTCTACGTTTACTGACTACACTATAGTGATTAAGAATTATTAGTATTTATATGGATTAAATGGTAATTAAATTTAAATTGTTAAAGTTTTCAACTTTTTTTTTATTGAAATGTGTTATAATATGATATGAGACCTATTAAGTATGAATTAAAGTATATTTATTAATAAATACATATTTAAGGTAATCAGTGGCGTAGCCAGGATTTTTTGTCGCGGTTCTCGGACTCTACCGACGACATCCTCGCACGTGAAATGTGTGAAAAATTGTTTTAATTTTATTAACACGGAAGGGGGGGGGGGCTGCAGCCCCCTCAGCCTCCCCCCTGGCTACGCCACTGAAGGTAATAATATAACAAAAATTTTTTTTACATTCATAAATAATATAATAGGAACTCACATACTAAATTAATTTTATTCAAATAATTCTTATATTATGTCCTTAGAATTTTTTTTATTGCAAACATCAATCTTAATCTAAAATTTTGCCGTATTCAGTCATTTAATATTTTCATAAATTGTTTATGCCGTATATTATATTAAAAAGTAAATAGAAAAATATGGTTAAATTAATAATTATTGTATTTATATTTTACATTCAGAATTTCTACATTAAGGTTGCCTATATTATAAATTATTTTATCTAATATTTATTTCAATTTTTAATTTTGCAATAATGATTATAATATTGTGTGAATATAATTGAAATATGCATTTATATGCACTGACATTTTTAAAATATGTATAATATACAAAACTCATAGTAAAATTTTGAAATAATAAAATATATCCATTTTTTATCCGAATTTAATTTATTTTCATGTGTATACATTTTATGACACTCGAAAACCTAACTTTACAGCTAAACACTTTGTTGTCATTATTAAGTTATTATTATCGGTGTGTACTAGTTGCGGTCATAATCAAAAATTACGTACTAGTTGCGGTCACCCCTCAAAAAGGTTACATACTAGTTGCGGTCACCCATCAAAAAGGTTACATACTGATTCACTCAAATAATAATAACTAAGTATACTAAATAATAGAATATAATATAGTTAATATACTAAATAATTAAATATGAAATTAATATTTCGTTTATTTATTTAATTTATAAAAATGTATTAATCAACATTATATCGATCAACAGTATATCGTGTAATTCCGCCTGGAATTGGAGTATAATAAAGCTATGACCGCAAGCTTACTAATATAATATAATATAGTTTATATAAAATGTATCAATCAACATTTTCCAAATTTGTGTCAAAGTATAATATGCATAAGTATAATATTATAATATGTATAATACTGTCAAATAATAATTATTATATAACTTGTGTCAAAATATAGTATATAATATGTATAATGATAATAATAATTTAAAATTTTAAAATTTTGTAGGTATAAATTTAAAGGAAATCGACTTTAGATATTCAAGTCGATTTATTTCGCCTTCTTCATAATACTGTATTTGTTGCGCTAAAAAATGCTCTTTTTCTATTGAAATTTTATTAACACGACTGGTTTTTGTACAATTCATTTTTAAATAGCCATTTGTTTGAATTTCATTTAAAGCGTCAATAAATATAAAAATATTAGGGTGAGAGTGGTAAAACATGCTATTGAGCTTTGAATGAAAACTTTCGCATGCATTGGTTGTTCGTGTTATGGAAGACGAACATTCAGCCCATAATGACGGTGGATATCTCGAATCTTCCCTTACATACACTTCTAAAATATAGTCTGTAAATGCAGTCAATTTTGAATTATTAGGTGGAAGAAGAGCCATAATATATCTGTGACAAAACAATCGTCAACTTCATCTGGTCGTAGAAACGGAAGTCCGAAAAAAAGTTTCAAATATTCGGACATTTCACCAGGTTTCATATATGGTTTTGCTAGACCTAATGACTGCATTTTGCGAAACCATGCTTGCCCTAGGTGAAAACGGCATGCTTTCAAATTTGTAGTGGGCCACACATCTTGAATTGCTGTGTGGATAGCCTGTTCGAAGTCACTGAAAACTCTATTTGGGATATAGTCACATAAATGATTTTTGAGATGATCTAATACAGTCTTGTACGCATTATGGCATTTGCTAGGAAACAACGAAAAAAACAATGGTATGTATGAGCTATTTTTAAATCCATGAATGACAAAAAGTTGCTTAAAAGGAAAAGGACAACTTGAAAAAGTAACATCCATAAAAATAGAATCACATTGCTTAAGAAAATCAAGGTTTATCTGAGTTGTAAAACACACTATATTGTTCTGGACATCATTTATAAAAATCCATTTTTCATTATTTTTCGTCTGTATTTTATTAATTACGTCAGGAAGCGTCGCATGCAATTGTGGAAAGTCACGTGGCAACTTCGGATAAATATTCATTCGTGCAGTATGTATATTTTTCCTAATCAAAGAAATATCATTTGAGTCGAGTAAACTTAGTGCTGTACTTGACATCTCAGAATGAATAATTTTAGAAGGGCGCTCACTAAACTGCTCGACTGCCTTACGTTTAACACTGTTACTAACCTTTTGACGTAATATTGATTGAAGATCATCTGGTTCATGATTATGTGTTGTATTTTGTTCACAAATGGCACCATTAACATCGTACTTTATAGCCGCATTACATGTTTTTTTACAACATACCCACCGTTGTACGTCATTCGCTAATGTACGATAAAATCGAAATTTATAATTATTAACGACCCGTAATGGTTTTAATTTTTCACTCAACATATTTTTTGAATTCATTTTTATGTTTTACCGTATCAAAAGACGTAGGCACAATGAAAGCAATATTCGAAACTATGATCGGAGTATACAATTTAATCTATTTTATTTATAAACTTTACAGATAAGTAGTGGTGTTCCCACATATATACGCTGTGTGCATTATATCAAAATATATGTTTATCGTATACTATAGATTTCGCCTGGAATTGGAGTATAATAAAGCTATGACCGCAACTAAGATATTACCTAAATTAATGTGACCGCAACTGTTATATCCGTTTATCTCAAAAAACGTCATGACCGCAACTAGTATGCAGCCATTATTATTATTACATTTGTGGTATATTATATTACCCGTGGTAAGTACGAGAATATAAAAGATCGAAACAAATACTACAATTTTGTAAATTGGAAAGTAAAAATAAGAAATAAAAAAACAATTTTTTAAAAACACACTTTTCTATAAAAACATATTTTAAAAATTGCACAAAAAGACAAAAAAATTTTTCCGTTTTTCTAACCTAACCCTGTGTGGTGCATCATACAAAACATTTAAAGCCGAGCTAATAGTCTCACATACACTTCTTTGTTCAATACTGTTTATAAGATAGTGACTGGGAGTATATGTCAAGTAAATGTAAATTTTTCATTATTTATAAGTACAGAAAATTTTTTTTGTCTTTTTAGTGCAATTTTTAAAATATTTTTTTTTACAATAGCTTGTATAATATATCTTATCAGTAATGTCACAGATTGTATAATTTTACATTTTTATTTACACTCCGCCTCACAGACCGGTGTGAATTTGTACTTAAACAAAATAACAAAACAGCTCAAATATATTGTATCTAAGCGTTTTTAAATTGTTTCATGGTGTCAAGTAAACAATGTTACACGCAAAGTGGTTTTGCATGATAATTCGTAGCGTTTTTACTACCCCAAAAGTAGATAAAAGATAGAAAAAAAAAACATTGCTTGGAAACTCTCAGAATCTACAAAAATAATGATAGCAATATTTATATGACTAAATTGTAGCCAAAAGACAATAGTTTATGATACTAATTATTGTTGTTTTTCACTCTCGTAATTTTTTTTACTGTCATACTTTTTTTTTAGTACACATCTAATGGTTTTAAGATTTTAGTTGAATGTATTATTAAATTTTGGATCGAGTGTAAAAAGAAAGGCCTTCGAGTTGAGATGAGTTTGAAGAATAAATAATTTAAAAAAATTTCAATATCAAGAGTGTTTTTATGCATAACATAATTATATTATATTATCTAATCGAAATGTATTTTGAAAAATATTAGGAAGCGCCGTGTCTGAACAACAATCGCAAGAAAGATTCCAACCCCACCGCCAACACTGACGATGTCCGCCTGGACGGCGCAATATGTCATCAGTGCTATATCGCCTCGAATACGAATTTTCAACAAAATGGTATGACGATACCGACAATTGGGATCCTGCCGAGTTCCAAATTCAAGATACCTGATCTAACCAGCCAGAGAATTTTGATCTTCATTCGTCACTTATCAGAGGATATTGGAGTAATTGATTGGTGTCCGATAGGTCACCGCCGGTAATATCCATATCTCCTAAAAGTCTACCGCCAGCGATTCCTATAACTAAGCATGTGGGATTCCGGGAGCATCCGACTGAAGTATTAGATGGACAATTCCTATACTTGGCGCCATACCTATAGACAAGTCCATCAATGTTCTGCGACCCAGGTAGCTATAATGCATAGTTTTAATATTATTATGATGACACGGTGTCGTTATGTCAATTATTGACGTGTTCAAAATGTCAAATGTTGTCTCTATCTTGCAACCGCAGAACACCTGAAAAATGTTTGTTCAACAGAACCGATTTTCTATTTTAAGCTTAATTAATATTCAGTAATTGACATATCAATATTTTCATCAAACTTAAGATCCGGATTAGTAAGATCTATAAAAAATTTATCTGAAATATTAATTTTAACGAAATTTAAATTATTAATCACAATTATAAGTATTTTTATATAGTATAATAATATTTTGCACATGTATATACATGTTATGTGATTAATGTAAACTACAGAAATGTAATTATTATTCATACATTTTTTGTTGAACTAACAACAATGTACTTATTGTAAAAATCTTCTAAATTTTTACTAGAATAAGTTCTTAACTTTCTCATTGGTCACGAAGCTATACAAGTTGCAACAGACTGAATGAACGATTAAATTAAATATAAATTCAAAATATGTACCTATATACAAGTACATAAAGATATTTTACTTGAATTTATTGGTTGATGCTTTGATGGTTAGTTTCTGCTTATTTATCAACTTTTTATTTTTCCTTGATAAGGAATTAAAAATATTAAATTTTTTTCAAAAATGTTGTTTACGACGTCTTAAAATTATATAAAAACTGTTTTTACGTAAATGTAATAGTTTTTGGAACATTAATTGTTCTTCGATAAAAAACATATAAAAAAAATCTATAACAAGGTACGGTGGAGGGGGGGGGCTAATGCTCATCGTCGTCCTGTTACTTAATCAGTACCTATGTATACCAAGTTTTCCAATTATATTTTTTTTCATATATTATATTATTTATATTTGTGACAATAAAATGTTTCCTTCACATTCTAAAACTATTTATAAACTTAAACACCAAATTCGAGCTTCAACGAGTTTTTTCATTCCTAATTTAAAAAAGATTTTGTCTGTTTGTGACATACTAACATCCCAAAATTCAAATACACATTATATATATATTACATTATAACATAATATCAGAAACTCGTAGGGGAATTTTTAAAGACCAGGAAACGGACTTTTTTTTTCTAATAATGAATAATAATGTTATACTCATATAATGATATGAAGAAATATGACTCTGTCCAAAATTAATTAAATTAGTAGTGTTATGGTATAGCTTTAATGAGCTACGGTGGTCAGTTCTACGTTCGTATTTCTTCTAAGGCAAAACGACTCAATATTTATAAAATAAAATACTTTAATTACATATTTTATTAATTATATTGACGTTATCAATCAGGGTGAACAATTTTCAGATCTAGTACAGAATTGGTAGAAAAAAATTTATTTTGTATATTTAAGAATATTATATTGTATTATTTTTCATAAAAAAATCATGTTTGTTCATTTCCTGAGTTGGAAATAATTCGTTTAGCAAAGAAAAAATGTTTTTAATTTAAAAATAAAAAATTATAGATATTGTTCAATAACTTGTTTGCAAATAAATTAGAGATTTTTAAATTTGTTTGATTGTTTCAAGTGTGACTGAATTTAAATAATTTACCAAAAAAAGATAGTTATTTATAATATGCAATAATTATTTTCAAGATTAAACATGTCATTAAAAATTTAAACAATTTTCAGACCTGAGGCAAACTATACAATTTGTCCACCCATCCAAAGCTTTTAGTCTACATTTTTTTGTGTAATCTTATACAGTAGAGCCTCGATAGTCCGGACGAATTCAGACCGAGCATCGTCCGGATTACCGGAGGTTTTTCAAAATTATCTACTCAAATGACTAAGATTTAACTTTAATTTCACCATCTTTATATTTATTGCATTTTAAATTACAAGAATAATAATTAAATTAAAACTAAACTAATGAATTACGAAAAAAAAAAAATGTCTATAATAATATGTATGTAGAACTTAAGTATAGTAATCGGTAATTTTTTTCGGAACAATACTTTTAATTTTCAACAAATGGAATTTTGCCGTCCGGATCACCGCGTTCTCCGGATTATCGGGGGTCCGGATTATCGAGGCTCTACTGTAGTATAAATATTTTTCTTAAACCTTTGTATCGTATTAAATCCATTGCCCGGTACCCCCTCGCCCATTCACTTAATAAATAATAACCTACTTAGGCATGCCACTGACATGATGTGCAATTATAATGGATGGTAAATGTAAATATTATACATTCATAAAGTTTAATGTGTTACGTACACTACTTATATATTTTACATACTATGTTTCTCTTGTAATTAGTATACACATCGATTTTTAATTTATTTGATAAAAAAGCATATTTTAAACTTTTAAGAACGTAATAACCTTTTATTTATATGTATTTTCGGTATCCTCGTCGTATGCTGTCTACGCACACTTGTCTATTGTGTCTATTGCGTTTCTATTGCCTATGCATCCGCGCTGGCGGCGATTATTCTCTATCCTCATTAAAGTTGTGTATAATTATTGTATCGTCAAAAATTTCTATTTTATTATTCAGTCATAGGAAAATACTATTTTATACGTATTTAAATTAAAATTTAAAATTTACTTGTTAAAATTGATACTCCTCCAACCTAACCTAATTGCAGTGGCTCTGTCTTTCAAAAAAGGCATACATTCACTTTAGCTACCCATTGTAACGATGGTGACATCGTCACTTATACTTTGTCACCTATATACGTATAGCCTACATATATACATGTACATATATATTATTATATACCTTATAAACATAATATATAGAATATGCTGACTAAATATATTGAGCCCCTCCTGTTATGATACCATTGTAAGGCTACGGCCAAATGCGAATATTATGTAAGGGTACGGCAGTTCTCCGTTCTGCGCGACACCGTCATGTGA